ATTCTAAGACACCAGCGCTTAGCCAATTTTTTCCTAGGTAGTATAGACCCCCACGAATATGCCCTCCATTTGTCCCCGCTAGAACCCGTGTTTTGTAGCCAGGAAAATTGTTTAAACAAAGAAAAACCGTTTTTTTTGAGTTTTTTTGCTTGTAAACGGGGATTTTGAAAATTTTTTTGAATCAAAGTTGTTCATTAGCTTGCCCTCTACAAAATCAGTTCTATGAAAAAATAACGTAAGATTGTTAGTTTAGCAGTAAATTGCAATTATGTCGGTTTTACGTTTGCATTAATTCAACATGTTATAATAAACATTTTGATTTCTAAAGTAGTTTATCATGTGGGTAACGCCACTCCCAAGAGAGTCATGTAAAATTTATCGACCTGTGTCGCAAACTTTAGCAACAATTCTCAATCTCCGAAAAAAAGTACTTGCCTGTCCCGTCTTTCCCAGAAGGCGCACAGCGGGGAAAAAAATTCAGGTGATTCGATTCACCAAGAATTTTGAGGAATCGATCGAGTAGAAAAAAATCGTTAGTAAAAATGTTCGTTTTTGGACGATTTAAATTTTTTTAAAAAATTGACGTAGAATATTTTTTTTTTAAACTAATGTATTTTTCTCTCCTCAACTCGAATATACTATTCTGAATATATATATATATACATATATAATATATATATATATATAATACTAATATACTCTGAGAATTCCGATTATGAACCGGAAGAAAAAAGGACGAAATTAATTTAATTAGAAATATAGAATACAACGCAGTCTTGTAATCGAATTTTAGTTAATAGTTTTGTAAATAATTTCTGTACATAAATAAACTGAATTTTTTAAATTTTCAATCGTATATTCGAGTTGAGGAGAGAAAAATACATTAGTTTAAAAAAAAAATATTCTACGTCATTTTTTAAAAAAATTTTAAATCGTCCAAAAACGAACATTTTTATGAACGATTTTTTTCTACTCGATCGATTCCTCAAAATTCTTGGTGAATCGAATCACCTGAATTTTTTTCCCCGCTGTGCGCCTTCTGGGAAAGACGGGACAGGCAAGTACTTTTTTTTCGGAGATTGAGAATTGTTGCTAAAGTTTGCGACACAGGTCGATAAATTTTACATGACTCTCTTGGGAGTGGCGTTACCCACATGATAAACTACTTTAGAAATCAAAATGTTTATTATAACATGTTGAATTGTTGCAAACGTAAAACCGACATAATTGCAATTTACTGCTAAACTAACAATCTCACGTTATTTTTTCATAGAACTGATTTTGTAGAGGGCAAGCTAATGAACAACTTTGATTCAAAAAAATTTTCAAAATCCCCGTTTACAAGCAAAAAAACTCAAAAAAAACCGGTTTTTCTTTGTTTAAACAATTTTCCTGGCTACAAAACACGGGTTCTAGCGGGGACAAATGGAGGGCATATTCGTGGGGGTCTATACTATCTAGGAAAAAATTGGCTAAGCGCTGGTGTCTTAGAATAGGTCTCATGTTTATTCCGACTGGACTAATATTATTAAAAATGAGTAAAATTCTAAAAAGTATACATTTTTATTTTCATGAACAATTGGAAATTCGAATTCAATAAACTTTTTTGTGGCCAGCATTCTAAAAGAAAAGTTTTTACTGTGTGACAATACTTATGACCTGACTGTGTATAATATTGGATAAGAACCCTTTTACAAAATTGCACCGCTGCGCTGCCGTACTGATCGGCGCGTAGGTAGATTTGCACTAGTATATATAGAGAGATAGATATATTGCATTTTACGGGTGATGTTTCGAGTCTTATAATAATTATTAATAAACTAATTATAAAAATATATACATATTTCAGTAGTTCAATGATGGTAGATTAGTTTTATGAAAGTATTTGATAGTTAATATCAATATCAAAATACGAGGTAAACCTGCTTTGTCTTTTGGGAAAACTCACAGAGGTTATATGATTTTTTTGATAATTAATGAGATGGAAAATCAAAATTCTAATACATTATGTTACCACAAAAACATATTTCTGATATTGTAGTAATTAATTTGATCTAATTTATTGAACATTATTTAGAGATTCAGGCGTTTGAAATTTTGCATATTATCGTTTTTTCCGTAAACTAGCTGCGGTAGAACGATCAGTACAAAAAAAGGAAAATAGTATTATAATTATTCTACATTAACTTTCAATAGGAAGAATATATTTACTGATTCCTTTTATTGGAAATAGTCAAAAGAAATTCTAAGGGGGTAAATGAGGCGCTCAAAAATTTAGATTTTTTGCAAAAAATGTGAAAGGGCTCTTAATAGTAACTTTATGTGTAGAACTGTAGATGTATGATGCACCCCGCTGAAAATAATCCTGGCGGCCCTGTGAGTGTGAGTTTGTTTTAAGATGATAATTACTGCACGTGTAGAATATAAAGCGCGCTTTAGTTGGATAATGATGCGGTATGAACACAGCTTGTGTCAAGTTTCACACAAAGTCACGCATGCTTCTGATTGATTTAATGCCTGAGTGAATTTGATTGTGCTATATTCGTAACTAACAAACTGACTCTTAGTATCATGAATGTTTCTAATTATAACATTTTTATTTGTTTGTTTTACTAAGCTAATATAGGTAAGGTATACATAACATAATTATGCGCACGGATAGCGGAGGGTGCGGTTCCGCGTGGAATTACATTGTAGTAAATTTTCTCTAGATTAGCACATAAATGCTTAAAAAGCTATAACTACAATTGCTATTTCTTCTTTCAAATGTTTAATACTTGTAAAGGTATTCGTTTGGCATTGTGCGTTACCTACAATACGAAGAGATGGCGCTGCCTTGCAGCCTAAGATATATTAGAAAGAATTCGACACGGCCATTAGGGCCGCGGTAGCATAATGGCTAGTGTATCCGCCCGGATAGCGGAGGGTGTAGGTTCGAGTCCCGTCTACTGCCTGGTCCGGCTGGTTTTTTATTATAATTTTCTTTACATTTAAACATCTATAGTTATATTTGTTTTGTTTTAAGCATTTAACTGCTAGTTGTTTAAATCTAAAGAAAAGTTTTACTAGTAAAAAAATCCACGCGGACCAGGGGGCCAATCGCCTAACGGAAATGCTTTGGGAAATGCTAACGCTTAGGATTTTATATTGTTATTTCTAGCCGCCTGAGGTTTTCGAATACCTCACGCTCATTTTTTTTAATATTGTTATTACCAATGCAAAAGAAAAAGAAAGAGCGCGAGGCATTTGAATACCTGAAGCGGCTAGAAATAACAAAATAAAATCGTAAGCGTTAGCGTTTTCCAAAGCATTTCCGTTAGGCGATTGGTCCCCTGCTGGGGGCCAATCGAAATGCTTTGGAAAACGCTAACGCTTACGATTTTATTTTGTTATTTCTAGCCGTCTGAGGTATTTAAATGCCTCGCGCTCTTTCTTTTGCTTTTGCATTGGTAATAACAATATTAAAAAAAATGAGCATGAGGTATTCGAAAACCTCAGGCGGCTAGAAATAACAATATAAAATCGTAAGCGTTAGCGTTTCCCAAAGCATTTCCGTTAGGCGATTGGCCCCCAGGCAATGATCGGGCGGGACATTGTGGGCTACCTGCAATGCGAAAAGATGGCGCTGCCTTGCTAGGAAAATTTTGACGCGGCCATCAGGGCCGTGGTAGCATAATTGGTCAATCTATAGTTATATGTTTAAAATAATTATAAGAACTGTGACAAAAATCAACGCCACTGATCCTTTAATAAATCATGATTATAATGTAAGCGTAGCAGAATCGACACCCAAATAGCACAAGTAGCAATTTAAGATATCACTTTTGGTGTAACTCGGCACATTAAACATTTTTAACCATTTATAAAGCCATGAATTAGAATCTGTTAATTACGCTTTAATCGTTATAATAGCATTTTTTGGAGGAACAGATACTCTTGTTACGGTTTTTGAGTTAGTGCATCATACCTTCGATATTGGTTCGTCGTGCTAAGTACCCTTAGCACGAAACAATATTGAAGGTCAAAATTTGTATGGAAACTTGAACAGCAGCGCCCTATAACGGACGTATCGGTAACGAGAACTAAAAATCAGTACACATTTGACAATGACATTTCGCACTCGCAAACTATTCGAATTCAATATTGGTTCGTGCTAAGGGTACGGTTACGGTACAGATGTCAAAAATGCTTTCTTATCACATTTAGCGTCTCTTTCATATTATATTGACTGCTTCAGAGAATTTTAATGGTAGAAAATTATGATAATTACTGTGTAAAGGGGTAGAGTTGTGTTGTACCCTCAAAATGCCGGCTTCTCAATAGTATCCTAGTGAAGTACCGTACAGCCAAAGGTATCAGTTTGGTGTAGGTACACTAGTTTAATGTATACTCTAACTAAGGTGTACATTTACAATCATTTTATATCAAAAGTTACAAATCAGACCTCATCTCTATTACACGCTTTTTTGTTGTTACTTTTAGGTAATTGGGGGTTAATTAACACACATGTACACAAAAGTGTATGCAGATCCTATCTTAACTCAGAAACAATGCATTTTACTGTAAACTGCATAGTAGAATAAAAAAATAGCTATAAATTGATATAAAGATTCACAGGAAACTGGCATTCCCAATTGATTTTACGGTAATTAACTTTATAAATGTACATAACAAGGAAAACACTCAACACAACTTTGACACCAATAACAATACAATAGACACATCCTCTAAGCATAAATGTAGGTACTTAAAATAAAATCGAAAGTTTACCAAAGATTAAGATTGGAGTTATTGAAAACTTAAAGTAGCCTAAGACGGCCACGCGAGCGTGCCTTTATAGCTTAGGCTGCTTAACAGGTAACGAGTGTTCTATTAAACAGCTGATAATCAGTATAGTGACCCATAATAAATTCAATATAATGCTACTGTAATGCCGTTCAAAAGAAATTTGAATTATATGTAAACTAATGGCTATATAATTTGTGCCCATTTACGAGTAGTAACAACTAAAGATGCGCTGTTAACTCCATTATAGAACCGCCATGCACAACTTTCAGTATAAAGGTAAACGGTATGGCGGCCGCTGTACAGCCTTTATGTGCTACTTGGGCACCCTGCACCGACATTTACAGTCACCGCGCCGCGCGGGCCAGTCGAAAGATTTGTTTAGTAATTTTGTCATAACTTCGTCAATATTTGTCGTAGAACAAAAAATTAAACACTATATTTTTTGGGATCCTTAGCTCTAAAAACTGCATTTTCAACTAAAATCGTTACGGATCCTCATTTGCTCACACGAGATACCATGTTCGATGTTAGGGGCTTAGGTTTCCGCAATAAGTCCTTTAAGTGGACCATTGTGCATGAGCCATGGTGGCCGGTTATTCAAGTCAGCCCACTTCCCTCCAGAAGCAGATCAGTCTTCCCAATCTTCTCAGGGCAAGGGATCCTGCTTTACCAAGAGTCTTCCTGCAGAACTGGGCGACACCAGTGTACTCAAGGAGCACACATCGTTTTCTCTATCTCCATGTATGCTCTGCATAGAAGACTGTCAGTGATATCTAGGGTGTTGTTCAGTGGGCAATGCCCGGTGATGATCTCCGCCACCAGTCTCAGGATGTTCCTGTCCAGGCACAGGAGGCGCCTGGTCAGCTTTATATCTAGGGATAGCATAGCCTCCTTAGATTGCCTACACCCTGGTGTCGAGGCCCATGACTTCATCGTTCCAATTTCTACCTTCTACTTACCTCTCTTGCGGAATCAGGCTGCGTTTCCCCCAGAGGTGTCCGAGGCCGCGTAGCGAGGAATGTATTTGTAAAACCCAACAGAACAAACCCTGTTAGGTGTACTGTTTGAAAAAAAAAACGCACGGGGTAGATGATATTTGATCAGCGCCATCCACCTCGTTAAACGACGGAGTCAGGACTACCGGGGTCGATGGAACATTTTTTCCCCAACTGTCCAATTAACAGGGCAGGACGGCGGGGTGGATGGTACACTCGCTGAAAACTGTCTCTGCCTATGGCCCACCTCATAACAATAAATTTTTTGCGTTAAATGTAGACCCTATATTTTAGCTTTGGTATCAGGGTAGCTAATTGGATTAATTATACAAAATATTTTTAGGTATTGTTCTTTATTCAATCACTAAATATTGATTTAAATACCTCCTTGCCATTTGTGGTGAGTGTCCTTTATATAACAAAACCAAATTATAAGCTGCCTCTTTTTTCAAATCTATAGCCCCATGTTTTGCACATTTGGCAATAGAATTACTATTCAATACTTTTTCGTAATATGCAATAGCCAAGTTATTTATGTTCAACATTTGGAAAGCCCTACCAATATTATAATAAGATTCATGATTACATTTTCTCAATTTATGATATATTGACAGATAACACAATCCTTGCAGTACTAAGTTATGGTGCTTATCCATCGTTTTCTGTGCAGCCATCACCAAACTTGTAATTGCAACCAATAAAGCAGAAATAGGTTCCTTACATTGCTCATGATATTCTAAGAAATATTTCAATGCCACAAGATACCTTCCTGATGTTATAAAATGATTACCAAGAAAAAGCTTTTTGATCATACTACAGTCTTTTTCAAATAATCTGTACAAAAACTTGACCTGTGGATATTCATCTATTGCATTTAGTACAAAGTTTAGTAAAGTCCATGAACGAGCTCCAGGAATTTTATGTGCTATTTCCCTAATAAATCTCATAGCGTTGATGTAATCATTATTTAAAAGACATGATTGAAAGCATAGGAATTCTAAATTTTTGCGGTGCGGGGCTAAAGCTTTGGACATTATAGCACCATAAGAAAGTCTCTGCATGGTACTATATTGCTTATGGATGTGTGCAACTTCCATTAGATCTTTAAAAATTAACCATTCTTCTTCAGCAGTTAATTTAAAATCTTCTTCTTCATCAAAATGTATATCATTTTCGTTAAAAGGGTTTTCTCCTCGCATAGCTCTAAAGTTGTGTATGAGTTCAATGATGGCCCCTTTGGTACGTAAAGCAATTTTTAATTCTGATTGATGTCTATACCTAGGAAATGTTTTTGACAATAGTGCTTCTCCTACTTCTAAATATTTAAGAGGTCTATTATATTTTTTTAATATCATATATTGTTCATAGAGTAGTCCCGCATTGACAACATATTTATAATCTTGCTGTAAAATTTCCAAAGCTTCATTAATACTACCTTTTTTTTCTAGGATGGTAAACAGTTTCTTACGAGCAGTAGGATGCTGTGGTGCATGTTTCAGAACCTTGTAATAAGACTCAATAGCATCATTCTCTCTACCTAATTTATATAAACACTCAGCATGTTTTAGCCAGACTGCTCCAAGATCAAAACTAGTATTCTGTACCAGTGGTTCTAGTAGTTGCATAGCCAATTCATGATAACCAACTGTAGAAAGTGCTTCTTCAATGTCCATATACAAGTCTCCAGCTTTTTCTACATCATTTGACAAAAAATCTTGTAGCAATGTTTGAACCAAATTAATGGCACCAAGATGTACAAAACATACTAACAATTTGCTCCTCAAATCTATTGGAAGATTATCTGGAATAGTACAATTTAAATAATGAGTTTGTTCTTCTATTTCATCATTTGCCTTTCTTATTGTTTGAATTTCAGCTTCAATTTCTACACCAACATGACCTACAAAAATTTCAATGCATGTTTTGTATGCTTTCTTTGTTATCAATAATTCTAAAAGAATGTTAAGATCTTCAGCTGTGAAATATTTAGAACATTTTTCATAAGCGTTAGTCATTACTTCAAGTGTTTTTTCAATTTCATTGTTATTGTGATACATTGTAGATGCTAGTCGGGCATATTTCATGATTGTATCGCCTTCACTTGAAGGTAAAGCTGTTACAATTCTGTGGTAACATTTCACACGATTTATATTATTTAATGGATATTTAGATTCCTCCAACATTGTTAATACTTCCAGCCTTTTTAAATGTATTGCAATATTCTTTGGATCTGCATTGATAGCTTGAGTGTAACATATCATCTCCTGTTTGATATCATTTCTTTGCTTAGAGATTGCAGCCAGTCTTAACCACTCATTAGCATCACTTGGACTCAGATGAGCTGCTAATAGTGAAAATTGCAAGGATTTTTCAGGATCATCTTCATAAATTTGGGCTAATGTTTGGTAAGGCTCTGCAGCTGCAGGAACTTGCTTTATTATTTCATGGCACATTTTTTCCGCCATATCCTTATCCCCCCTCGCAAATCGTAGATTTGCTTCACCCATTAGTCCCATTAGTGCAGGAGTAAGACGTGTTACCTTCCGACGTCTGGTTACTTTCTCCGATGATTGCGTAGATGGTGATTCTTCAGCATCTTCATCACTTAACCTATCATCATTATCACAGAAATCATCTTTTTTATCAGCGCAATACCATTCACTGGAATATTCAGCAAATGACAGTTCTCCATTTAGAAACTTGTTTGTTAAATCCACCTCTAAGGCAGTATTGTCTTCATCACCTGGAGCTATTTCAGGACGTGACATATATTTGTCCATTCTGCTGGGATTCCTCTATTAGTTTCTAGTTATCTAGGAATGTGACCAATTTTCTTAGGTTCAAGCCAAGAAAAAAAATTGAATTTAGGTATCTATATTAACTTGATTTCAACATTCTAGTTATTAATTAAATTTTCAGTTCTTTCAGTCAATCAATGCTGTATTAACACAACTATTTCAATAACTAATAAAAATAGCTAACGCACTATTTTCTTGTTTTGCTGTCACCACACCACTGTTGTTCTTTTTTTTAATTTATTGGCAATGGATACATTTTCCTTATGCCTGTCACCACTGTTGTTACTAGCAGGGTTGTCAGATGCAATTCCATGATTTCCCCTGAACTGCTTGTTAAAATTGCCCAAATGATACGTTTTCTAAAAAAACCCCAATCGCTTCGTTACAAAATATAAATAAAATAAAATGGCTTATATTTGATAATTTAATCTTCATTCAAAATATCAGGTAGATTCTTCTCTTTACCAATATTACAAAAAGTTGCTAATTCTAAAGATTGAACAAACCGGAAACATACATTTTTACTCACGCTCAGCAATCCATATATGTAACGATCTTATTAATTGCATGATTTTACATTTTGAATTTCAGACAACACAGATGCCCAGTTATGTGGCGAATAAGTATATTATAATTATTTATATTTTTATGAATAAATGCGCGTCTCTAATGACAATGAAGAACAGTAGTCAGTAATTATTTCGAACGTAGAACTAATTTAGACGCACTTGAAACTTTATGAACGCACAAACGTCAAAACGGCCATCATAACGTGATCGTAGCGGACTATCACTAGCTAGACTTTTTTAAATGGCTGATTCTTGCATATTAGCCAGGATGTTAGTTGAATAAAAAAGACGTCTGGCTATCATTCCCATATACAGAGCGTCCTACGGTCATGCCACATAAAGGATAAGTATATTTAATATTGAAATTAGGATATTTTACTGAAAGATCTTATCGTTTTATTTTAAATAATAAGTAGAATGCCTTTCAATGATTTTTAAAAATCGTCAGCCACGATAATGTTATTGTTGAAAACACGGATAGGTCAAAGGATTTTTCCTGAGTAAAATTTTAATTGTATAATAGCTTACTCTCGTTTAAAATGCTGTTATATAGCAAAAAAAAAATCCTAACGATTAACCCTCATGACGGTTATTGTTTTTTTTTACATTTCACGACTTTGGTTCCCGGTTGTGGCAGGCAATTTTAAAAAAATCTGTGAATGTAGTCCTACTTATTATTAAAAAAAATAATGATGTCTTCTTTCAGTAAAATATCCTATCTGCAATACTTGATATACTTTCCCTCCATGTGGCATGCCCGTGGGTCGCCCTGTAAATACTCCCCTCACCCAAAAATTTTTTACTTTCCCCTACAGTTTCTCCAAGAGTAATTTTTTCCCCAGAATTGCGGAAAGAAAACCCAACCTGGTAACGCTGGTCACTAGTGTCACTGTCTGTTAATGTTTTTTTATTTCTTTACCCAATTTGGGAAGTTCAAGGGTACTATGCCCATATAGTCAATTTTTAAATTGATTTATTATTCTGTAGTTTCTGAATTTTTGAGGCCGAAGCCAAGTCTTTTTTTAGGTATCTTGTCTTCCTTTTGAATGTTGAAAATGTTCAATTCAATTCAATTCGTTTATTGCATATCGAACGTCTTCGTCGTCAAAAAAAAAATGGGTGCGTGTACTTATGTAGGCGCGTGAGAAGTTATCCTTCTTTGGCATCGTTTAAAATTAGTTTTTAATTGCATGCAAATAATTAATTACAATAAATTAATAAAAAGTCTGGAAAAGGACACAGTCAATAAAGTTCAGTTTTAATTTGAAAAAATAAATAAATAATCAAAATATTCAATTAAAATCGCTACTGAATATAATTTATTAGAACATATGTGATTTGCACTTGTATGAAACTCAAACACGTATTCCGAATATACAAACTAGAAACATGTGGATAAATATTATAAATATGAATACCTATAAATGTTACTTTATTACAAAAAATAAAGATGTGGTTTTTGGTTCTACTACACCAATGGTCAAGAGATGGCGCTGTAGTCTCCTGAATCGCGCTTTAGTTCCGTTGTTCCAGATTAATAAATACTTTTGATATTATAAATATGAATACCTATAACTGTTACTTTATTACAAAAAATAAAGATGTGGTTTTTGGTTCTACTATACCAATGGTCAAGAGATGGCGCTGTAGTCTCCTGAATCGCGCTTTGGTTCCGTTGTTTCAGATTAATAAATACTTTTGATAGGCCTTCACAATGCAGTCGTTAGCACCCACTAAATAGAGATTCTATTTCTATTTTGTTGGTAGATTTTCTTAATGTGCGGTAAACACAAAAGTAACGCATGAAGTTGGTCGCTAAAGCGACCAACTTCATGCTGTTAAAATTTTGTGTTACAGTGATGCCCGCGCATCTTAAATAAAAAATTATAACAGTAATATTTTTATCCATATTTTTCCACTTATTCCGCAAAATCTCTAAGGAATTATGCCTTGCTTGTTTATTTTTATATAATGGGTTAGACACATCCCGAAGGCCTGTGCAAGTCTTTACATATATCTAAAATCTCCTCCATTATTTCCCGTTCAGATCGAATAGACATAATATTGTCGTCATGTTGCTCCATCTTCTTCTCAAAAGACAAGTCAACGCACACACCCGCTCTGAACGCCGCTTGCACAGTGACCACAGACAGTGACTACGTTTACAAATTGGCCAGTTAGCGTCCACACCACCCAATTTGATTGGGCAATCCCGAATCGGGCAATACCGACCATCCAATGACCTTCAATTTCATATTTCCGTCCACACAACACAATTCGATTGTCAATCTAATCAAATTGGACGTAAAATTGTATCGTGTGGATGCCACTGCATAGGATCGACTGGGCGCCATATTGACGTCATAGATGTCAATTCAAACCAAATCGGTAGAGTGAGCAAAAGAACGTTTTTATTTAATAAAATTTATTTACTAAGATGAAGTGAGAAAAAACATTAGATTTATTTAATAACATTTATTTACTAAGATTGAGAGAAAAGACAACCGATTTTAAATAATATTTATTTATTAAGACTGTGAGAAAAAAACATTTATCAGAATCTAGCTCTTCAATTCCGCCCGTATTCCGTATAGAGGGCGGTGTCGTCGGCGAAAAGCGCGAGATCGACCTTAGGAGTCTTGGCCATGTCGTTCGTAAAGACAGAGTAGAGGATAGGCGAGAGTGGCGAGCCCTGAGGGACTCCAGCGCGTATTGGACGAGGCGAGGAGAGCGTTCCTTCGACGCGATAGCGAAACGAGCGATTCGACAAAAAGTCCCGTATGATGAGCACGAGTCTATCCGGCACACCGAGTTTGTATAGCTTATAAATTAAGCCATTGTGCCAGACTTTGTCAAATGCTTTCGCCACGTCGAAGAAAAGCGCACCTGTGGGAATCGGACACTATGACCGTTATTAACAAAGTAATAGGCTAGTTTACTCATGTCAAATTGTATTAAATAAATGTTTATTTCTTAAAGTATTTAGTCTAAGGAACCTTAATATATCGATTTCACTTCATAAAAGCAGAAGATTGCTGTAGAAATTTAATTTAAAAAAATATTTTTTAGTCTATATTTTTTAAACACTAAAAACGCTGTTCGCCACATCCGCCATGATTTTGACGTCTCTTCTGGTAAACAACTAAATGTCATTCGCGTGTTACTGTAGGTGGATTCTTTCGTCTGACTAAATTTATCATAAAACACTTTTAACTTTAGGAAAGAAAAAAACAGTAAACTTAGTTTTTTTTTGACAAAACTAATTATGGATGCCGGCTTTGTGAAAGCAGAAAGCACAAATCTGCCAAGAATTGACGCATTGATGGTTGGTGAATTTGTTGCACTAAACCCCGATTTCTGCTCTGCGGAGCAGAGAAACGACAAGGCATCTATGTAAGTTACAGTGCATTTAGTATTACAATGTAGTAATAAACATAAAACTGATACAACATATGAATAAGTGTAATAAAGTTGCATAGGTTAATTTCTTTCGGCACTTTAATCGACAACTTTCCTGGAGTCTTCAAGGATGTGTTTTTATATTCTCGTACAATACAGTAATGATAATTACTTTATTTTTCGTGGTATTTATTAGAAATCATGTTTTTGTTTATTATAAACTCAGCTAAAAGTAATTTTCTACGTGTTTACGAGTTTTTGTTTACGACAGTTCACGTCATAGCATAGATAATCTATAGACTAAAATGGCCGACAGCGTTTTTGTATGTCCATGAAAAGTCTATTTTAAAATTAAAGATTTGTAGCTTTCTAGGTTTAAAAAAAATGCAATACATTTTTTTTCGGTCTAATAGAACATTAATTAACCATTTAAAACCTTTTTCCAAAAAGGGTCAACTAGCCTATTGTGACACATTTAATAAGTTTACCAGAAATCATTAGCTTTATTATTTCATATATTTTGTTAAACATAATACCATGCATTAAAAGCAAACCGTAGTCATTTTTATTGTTAATTTTATTCATGTAATTAAAAAAGGGTATGAATAAATAAAAAGATAAACAGGGTGAATATAAAATAAATATGTTTAATATGATTGAGTGTTTATTATTTATGTATATAAAAATATGGGAATGCTTGTAATTCCAATTAGTATGACAACATGCAGAAATATTTTTACCTAAACTGTCAATCAACCCTAGAAAATAATTAACAATGTTATTTTCAATTCATTTCAGCTTACCATTGTCGTTTTTTAAAAATACATATTTTGTTACATTATTGCTTGAGTATGATTCTTGCATTTTATTAGAGACTTTCTGTATACAACTAAATGTACTTATATTGTAAAAAGACATAAATAGCACAATACAACATAATTTTCCTTTTATGTAGCTTACCAGAACAAAGCAACCAAAACAACCTAAAAGTATGGAATATAAAACATATGTGGTAATATAAACTATATAGAATGTAAAAACACGCAGTCACTTGAGTTTAGCAAGACTTTCAAAGTCACGAATGAAAACTGCTTTAGAATCATCTAATTTTCTGATGTAAATTCGGCCTGAACGGATCCAGGTGAATCTGTAGTTGAGCTCCTTGGCGCGTTTACGAGCTGCAGCATGCAGCTGTTTGTTCTCTAATGACAGATTCTCAATTACAAAAACTGGTTTTTTCTCCTCCGCATTGAAGCCAAAGTCATGGGTACAGAGCTTGTTTTCCTTGTTTTGTTTATTATTATTTTATTGTCAAAAGACGGTGACCATAATACG